GCCACTCTCCTCTATTTCGAGGGAGCACCAGAGACAACTGGCAGTCATTTCACATCTGTTGGCTTCTTCTTCCATAAACAGACAATTTCTACCTGGTTTCCTGGCTGCCCAGAATACAGTTTCCAGACTTGCTCAAAGCTGGCATATGACAACCTTCTGGCTGAAGGGAGACAGCCAGGAGCACACTGTGGCAACCTTCAGGAAGCTTCTTAAGAGCCACGTGACTTTGGTCTTCATTTTCTGTGTCCTCTCCTCCACCCATTTAAGCCTAGAGCTTAAGATGGGGGAGATGCTTCAAATGATGGAGCTGGGAGTTGGAAGGAACAGGGTCCCTGAGGACTTCTTGGAGCAGAGCTTCATTTACATGCGAGAGAAACACACAACGTGTGTGCCACTGGGATTTCATGACCTGCTGCCAAGTCTAAAACCACGTGATACACTGAGTTTGCTGAGAGCTGACTCGGTGCATGCAAAACTTCTTACGGTCTCAGATATAATGGCTGAGGGAACAAACGATGGAGTTGTGAGGCACAAGACCACAACTTCCTGATTGGCTGCCCAAATCTTCCCCAACTTGTGTAAGGTTGGCCAAAGCATTTGTAGTTTTGTGTGAGAGTTGGATGTAAAGTTTTGCATCCCTCTAGCACACATGGAAGTACTGAACATGAACCACTAAATCTGTTTTAAAATTTTGCCACACGTGTATCTGGAGGAAACTCTAATTTGACAAGATACACACACTCCAATGGTAACAACAGCACTACTTACAACAGCCAAGACATGGGAGCAACCTGAGTGTCCATAGACAGATGACTGGATAAAGAAGATGTGGTATATTTCTTCAATGGAATACTACTCAGCCATAAAAAATAATAAAATAATGCCATTTACAGCAATGTGGATCGACCCAGAGATAATCATACTAAGTGAAGTAAGTCAGACAGAGAAAGACAAATATCATATGATATCACTTTTATGTGGAATTTAAAAAATGACACAAATGAACTTATTTACGAAACAGAAAGAGACTCACTGACATAGAAAACAAACTTATGGTTACCAATGGGGAAAGGGGAGAGGGATAACTAAGATTAGCAGATAAAAACTACTATATATAAAAGAGATAAACAACAAGGTCCTACTGTAGAGCACAGGGAACTGTATTCACTATCTTGTAATAACCATTAATGAAAAAGAATATATATATATAAATGAATAACCTAAGTCTGTACACTAGAAACTAACACAACATTGTAAATCAACAATCTTCAGTTTAAAAAAATATTCTGCCACAGAGTCTCACAAACATTTCTTGTTGCAATCACCCTGAGGGGTAATAACCAGGAGCCTTTCGTCTGACTTTCATAGTGTGTCTTCTAGTTCCTGAAAAATGTAGGAGCTATTGCTGCAGACACTGGGGCTCCCCAGAGGAGTTATTCCAGATTTCTAAACATCCTCATTTTAGTTGATTGAAACTCCCCAAAACCATAGGCATCCATGTTATCTTTTAATTTTGTATTTCCTCACTTCTGCTGGGCCAAGTGTGTCAGCCTCAGCTGGCAGGGAGTTCGGGGTCTCAGATAGATGAGCTTCCTCATTTTGAATGGCATTAAAATGTGGACCCCTCTGAAGACTTTCCAGGATCCCCACTACACAAAGGACTTGCTCAGAAGAGGAGTCACTACGAATCTACAGGCACAGTGGCCCTTGCCTGTCCCTCCCCCTTAGAACACATTTTCACCCCTATTTTCCCTCTGCATCCTTAGTCACATCTCCCTTGTCCTCCAGGAGGCTGATTCTAAACCAACACATTTTCTGAGGTTGAATACAGTCTGAGCAGATGGAGGTACCGAGCTCCTGGGAAAACGTTATTAGTGCCCATGTGAGTGAGAGGAAAAGACTGTTGTAGCTAATCCTGATGGGCCCATTTAGTGCTACCTTTGTGTTTTTACCACGAGCTTTAAAAAAAATGAATTCTCCTTCTAAAAAGTGGAAATTTGCAGAACCTCTTAAAGGATCCTTATAACTCATAAAAACTGAGGCTCGGTCACATGTCCAACGTTTCCCATTCATCAGCCCATCATTACATGCAAGTCACTCTGTTAAAAGTGAAGAAACAGAAAAGTGAAGAAAAAGTCAGAAAACAGACTGCTTATTTGTGTTTCTCATTTTATACATATATAT